AAGAAACAGTGAAAGCATATGAAAATAGAGATTGTCTCCTTTATGTCTTAAGGCAGGGCATTGGCCCTTGGAAGGGAGGTGGAAGGGTGCCATATCATTATAGTGACATGTGCCAATATTTCATAAACTCAAAGTTGGATCTGTGGGAAGACTGTTTTCCCTTCAGGAGAAACACAATAGGAACAGGGATTCTTTGTTCAATTTGAAACATTGGATGAAACATAATTATTCAGTTATTGCTTCAACATCTGGCATTTCTACTGACTAAGCAGATCTTAGTAAAAGCAATGTTATTTTGTTTACCTCAGCTTTCTCTTAGCTGATCACTATTAGTTAGGCCTCTAGTCTCCAGACCAAACTCTGGACTTCGGGTCTGAAAAAGAGCTGGCACAATCCATATATACCAGGTTGTTATATAACATGCACATGGATTTTAACCCTTCAGCTGAAAATTTTTTTCCCTTGTCCAAAACATTTTCTAATTCCCTGCTGGGACACCAGGTCAAGCTGGAGGAGGCAGGCTGAAAATTTTTTGACAAGTCCAAAACATTTGTGCCGAGTCTGAAAAATTTGTGCCGAGTCCTAAATATTTTCCAAGTCCCCGCTCGGACACCTGGTCAGCCCGGAAGAAGCGAGCTGAAAAATTATTGCCGAGTCCCAATATTTTTTGCCGAGTCCGAAAAATTTTACATGTCCCTGCTTGGCCACCACATCAACCCGGAGGAAGCAGTCTGAAAAATTTTTACTGACACAGAAACATTTTGTCCGAGTCCGAATAATTTTTGCGAATTCGGAAATATTTTCCAAGTCCCTGCTTGGCCACCAGGTCAAACCGGAGGAAGCGGGCTCAAAAATTATTACCGACACAAAAATTTTTTGCCGAGTCCTGAATATTTCTTGAGTCCCCGCTCGACCATCAGGTCAACCCGGAGGAAGCGGTCTGAAAAATTTTGCCAAGTCCAAAACACTTGTGCCGAGTCCGAATAATTTTTGCCGACTCCAAAATATTTCCCAAGTCCCCGCTTGGCCACCAGGTCAACCCGGAGGAAGAGGGGTAACAATTTTTGCCCACAAAGAAAACTTTTTGTCGAGTCCAAATAATTATTGCCAAGTCGGAAAAATTTTAAAAGTCCCCGCTTAGCCACCAGGTCAACCCGGAGGAAGCGGGCTGAAAAATTTTGCCAAGTCCAAAACATTAGTGCCATGTCCGAAAATATGTTGCCGAATCCTAAATATTTCACAAGTCCCTGCTTGGCCACCAGGTCAACCCAGAGTAAGCGGGCTGAAAAATTTTTTTGCCAACACAGAAAAAATGTTTCCAAGTCCGAATAATTTTTGCCAAGTCGGAAAAATTTTCCAAGTCCCCACTCGGCCATCAGGTCAACCTGGAGGAAGCGGGCTGAAAATTATTGCCAATTCAAAAATATTTGTGCCGAGACCGAAAAAATTTTGCCGAGTCCTAAATATTTCCCAAGTCCCCGCTCAGCCACCAGGTCAGCCCGGAGGAAGCGGGCTGAAACATTTTTGCCGAGTCTGAATAATTTTTGCCAAGTCTGAATAATTTTTGCCAAGTCGGAAAAATTTTCCAAGTCCCCACTTGGCCATCAGGTCAACCCGGAGGAAGCGGGTTGAAAATTTTTGCCAAGCCAAAACATTTGTGCCAAGTCCAAAAAAATTTTGCCAAGTCCTAACTGTTTCCCAAGTCCCTCCTTGCCCACCAGGTCAACCTGGAGGAAGCGGGCTGAAAAATTTTTGCAGACACAGAAAAATTTTTCCCGAGTCCGAATAATTTTTGCCAAGTAGGAAAAATTGTCCAAACCCCCGCTTGGCCACCAGCTCATCCTGGAGAAGCGGGTTCAAACATTATTGCCGACACAAAAGTTTTTTGCCGAGTCCTAAATATTTTCCATGTCCCCACTCGGCCACCAGGTCAACCCGGAGAAGCGGGCTCAAAAATTATTGCCGACACAAAAATTTTTTGCCGAGTCCTAAATATTTTCCAAGTCCCCGCTCAGCCATCAGGTCAACCTGGAGGAAGTGGGCTGAAAATTTTTGCCAAGTCCAAAACATTTGTGCCAAGTCCGAAAAAATGTTGCCAAGTCCTAAATGTTTCCCAAGTCCCTCCTTGGCCACCAGGTCAACCCGAAGGAAGCGGGCTGAAACATTTTTGCCGACACAGAATAATTTTTGCCGAGTCTGAATAATTTTTGCCAAGTCGGAAAAAATTTCCAAGTCCCCGCTTGGCCACCAGGCCAAACGGGAGAAGCGGGCTAAAAAATTATTGCCGGCACAAAAATTTTTTGCAGAGTCCTAAATGTTTCCCAAGTCCCTGCTTGGCCACCTGGCCAACCCAGAGGAAGCAGTTTGAATAATTTTTGCCGACTCAGAAAATATTTTGCCTAGTCTGAAAATTTTTCCAAGTCCCCGCTCGTCCACCTGGTCAACCCGAAGGAAGTGGGCTGAAAGTATTTTGCCGAGTCGGAATAATTTTTGCCGAATCTGAAAAATTTTCCAAGTCCCCGCTCAGCCACCAGGTCAGCCCAGAGGAAGCGGGCTGAACATTTTTTGCAAAGTCCAAAACATTTGTGCCGAGTCCTAAATAATTTTGCCGAGTCCGAAATATTTTCCAAGTCCTCTCTCAGCCGTCAGGTCAGCCAGGAGGAAGCGGGCTGAAAAATTTTTGCCGACACAGAAAATTTTTTGCCAAGTTTGAATAATTTTTGCTGAGTCGGAAAAGTTTTCCAAGTCCCCGTCGGCCACCAGCTCAATCCGGAGGAAGCAGGCTAAAAAATTTTTGCCGAATCCAAAAAATTTTCCAAGGCCGGTGGGGCCCGCTCGTTGCGCGGCCCCCGCTCCTCCTTTCTGGAGCGCAGCTACCTGGTTGATCCTGCCAGTAGCATATGCTTGTCTCAAAGATTAAGCTATGCATGTCTAAGTACACATGGCAGGTACAGGGAAACTGCGAATATCTCATTAAATCAGTTATGGTTCCCTTGGTCGCTCTAACCCTTACTTGGATAACTGGTAATCCTAGAGCTAATACATGCCGACTAGTGCTGACCTCCGGGGATGCGTGCATTTATCAGACCAAAACCAACCCGGGCTTGCCCGGCCACTTTGGTGACTTTAGATAAACTCAGGCTGATCGCACGCCCCTGTGTCGGCGACGATGCATTCGAATGTCTGCCCTATCAACTTTCGATGGTACTTCCTGTGCCGATCATGGTGACCACAGGTAACAGGGAATCAGGGATCGCTTGC